CACGCCTAGGGTTCTCCAAGTAGATGGGACCTCACCCTTAGGGCCCAAGACCTCCTTAGAGCCAGGGGGTGGGCAGCGTCTCAGGGGCAGTGCTGGAGGCTAGGGAGGGCTTGGAAAACGCACACAGCCCCTAACTGCTTGAGACCCCACGGCAACTGCAGCCTGCAGCTCTGCCCGTGCGTCAGCAGGACCAGGGACAGGAATGTGGGGCCAGGATGAGATGGGCCAGGGCCTCCCAGCACTGGTCACCCTCTTATCCATGGACAGAGCCAGCCATGGCGGAAGAGATATGGGTGGGCACTTGGAGGCCCCATCGCCCCCGGGGACCCATCATGGCCCTCTACAGCAGCCCAGGACCCAAGTACCTGATTCCACCCACTACGGGTAAGAGCCTAGGGATGGCGGGGTGGGAGGAGCCAGAAGCCAGGTATGAGGTAGGGGTGGGTCTGGAGCTTGGGGAGAAGGGATGTCTGGCTCCAGCCGCTCAGAGACTGTGCGCACAGGCTTCGTCAAGCACACGCCCACCAAGCTGCGGGCGCCGGCCTACAGCTTCCGTGGAGCCCCCATGCTCCTGGCCGAGAACTGCTCCCCAGGGCCCCGCTACAGTGTAAACCCCAAAATACTGAGGACCGGCAAGGACATCGGCCCCACCTACTCCATCCTTGGGCGCTACCACACCAAGACTGTGCTGACCCCAGGGCCAGGTGAGTGACCCCACTTGAGGCTCCTAGACAAGATGGGCATGGGAAGGCCAGGGTGGACCCAAGTACTAAGCCAAAACAGCAGAGCCCAAGACCCCACAGTCCCGTCTGACCTGCAGTGCGGGAGCCCGGGCCACAAGCCCTGTTCTCCCTGCTTGAAAGCAGCCCTCGAGTCAGCTCTGACCAAGCCCACTCACCAGTATGCTGAGGCCTGGAGGCCTCCCTCAAGGTCGGACCCACTCACGTGCTTGCACCTCCTCCCCCTCAGGTGACTACTTTCCAGAGAAATCTACCAAGCATGTGTTTGACTCGGCACCCAGCCATTCCATCTCAGCACGGACCAAGACCTTCCGCGTGGACAGCACCCCAGGTCTGTCACAGCTCCAACTGTCAGCTAGGTGACCAGTATGTGGGCCCACACGGTGGGGCCTCTGAGGGGTGAAGAGAACCCCAGAAGGACTCCAGGCCCCCCTCTTTCCCCAGGCCCTGCTGCATACATGCTCCCGGTGGTGATGGGCCCGCACACCGTGGGCAAGGTCTCCCAGCCCTCCTTCTCCATCAAGGGCCGCAGCAAACTGGGCAGCTTCAGCGATGACCTGCACAAGGTAAGGCTTCCGGGGCCCCCGTGCCCACCTGCTGAGACCCCCGGCCGATCCCCTGAATGCATGGTGTGGGGGGCCCCCGTGCCCACCTGCTGAGACCCCCAGCCGATCCCCTGAATGCATGGTGTGGGGGGGGAGCCAGGTACCAGCTTGGGAGCTGTGCCGTAGCCGAGAGCACTGGCTGGAGGGCAAACAGCAGTGTTAGATAGGCGCCACACAGAAAGAAGGTAAGCTCTGAGCGCTTGGGGGGAGGGTTCTAGCTTCCCTAGACTCAGGTCATTGTCCTCATACCCAAAAAGGGACAGTGTCCCCACTGCAAAGGGGCCTGACAGAAGGGGTGTGTGTTAGACTGGAGCACAATGGGGATGATTGCTTAGTGATGCTGAAATTGAGGCCTGAATCCCACAAAGGTGTTCATAGGCACAGTGGGTCCAGGCACCCCTGATGACAGCAGGGTACCAAACCTGCCCCGTTCTCTGACAACACATGCTTACCTGAGTCCTCTTTCACCTCCCAGACCCCAGGTCCTGCAGCGTACCGCCAGACTGATGTGCAACTGACCAAGTTCAAGGCACCACAGTACACCATGGCTGCCCGGGTGGAGCCCCCAGGGGACAAGACTCTCAAGCCAGGACCGGGAGCCCACAGCCCTGAGAAGGTCCAGGAAGCAAAGCCTAGAGGCGGGGTGGGGGTCAGGACAGGACACACTCTGGGTGTGGGGAGGGGGAGGCCTTCATGGCTTCCCTGTGCATTGCTGTACTGGCCCGAAGCAACTCTTCAGGTGTGGGAACCAGAGCCCCCACCCTTCCCCAGCTGCTGTGAGTTAGCACTGCTGAGAGCTCCATGCTCAGGGTCCAAGCAGGCTCTTCACTGGCCACCTTGGCCCCAGGTTCTGGAGGGACAGCAGCCCAGCCCCACCAGCTCACGGCTTCTGTCTCCCAGGTGACCCTGACCAAGCCCTGCGCTCCCGTCGTCACCTTTGGCATCAAGCACTCTGACTATATGACACCCCTGGTGGTGGATGTGGAATAGCCCTGCCCTGCAAGCTCCACACAAGAGGCCCCCACAGGAAGACAGCTGGGCCTGGACGGGAAGCACCCGCTACCACCTGGGCCACTGCTGGACTGGCTCTGCAAAGCACAGCATGCTTATTTGGACAATTCTAACAAAATATTTTTTCTACACTGTATTCCCATTTGCTAATCTTGTTTCCTGCTGTGTCCAAATTATAAAAATAAACCACACATTCCATTCTTAAGGATTTGTCTTGGGAAAGGCTACGTTTTCCTAGAAGCCCCCCATGACTGTCGGTGCCAACACACAGGAGGTCCCCTTCCAGCTTTCTCGGGGCTCCAGGGTCTGCACAGGAAGACAGGAGGCGTGCGAGCCCCAACCTCGGCCTCACCTGTGCGGTGCCCACACTGTGGCCTTTCCCCTCCCCCGCTTGACTCTGGACCGCTGCTAGGAAGATGTGATGTAAGTGCCCGACACCCCCACGCATCCAAAGTTGTGTGGGCATCCCACACAGGCACCTCATACAACACATCAAGACAGAGTAAGTCAATCCTTCTTCATAAAGCTGTTTATTGAGTTTTTATTGCTGACAAGTTCTTGAACTATGGGATACAGCCTGGCGACTTGTCCTCATAGCCTCTCACACTGGCCTTTAAGGTCTTTTTTTATTTGCTGGCATCAAGAACCAAATTGGCACCCCACCTTTCTCCTAGGTCCAGTGCCAAGTGCACAGAACCAAGCTGGAGGCCCACGTTTTTGGCACTGCTGTCCCCTTTACAGGAGTCACACAGCAGAAGACTCTCACAGAATACGGAACAGAATTGCTAGAGCACTACCAACAGCTGTGGAGACAGAAAGGCGAGGAACAGAGACGGATACCCAAGGGGAACATAACCACAGAGGTTCTAGAAGAGATGGCAAAATTTCCACAAGGAACTCCTCCCTGGTTAGCCATGTTCTCAGGAAGTTAGCAGTATCCTGCCAGAAAAACAGGGAGGCACAGCTGAATCATGATGCATCTAACCGGCAGGGACCAGCGAGAGGTGGCCAGGCAGATGCTGCCAGTGTTTGGTGACAGGCAGAGGACTAAGACAAAACTCAGTACACAAAGACACCCAGGGTGAGGGTGTTAAGATGTCCACAGAAGTGGCACAAACTTTACCAGCCCAGGGTTTCAGGGAAATAACAAAGCCAGAGAGAGAGGTAGTAAGAAGTAAGCGATGCTGGAGCCATACCCTCCTTCTCCAGACCCAACAGAAGGGCCAAAGATGAGGAAAGGTGACTGTGGTGAGCATGTGCAGGAGAAGGAGGGCTGCTGACAGGGGGAGCAGGGGAGGGTCCTGGGGTTGCAGGCCAGGGCAGGGCAGGGCTGCCACGTGGAGAGGGCAGGCTGCGTCGACCCGACCTTGGAGGAGGTGATTCTGCATGGCAAGCCTCAGGGTGGTCACAAGGTAGGTGGTGAGCCAGCAAGTGCTGAGGGTGGGGGACTGGAACACAGGGCAGAAGCGTGCACAACTGCACAATATATTCCTTGGGGACGTCTTTTATAAGCTGGGAGCAGGTGGCTCACACCTGTGATCCTGGCTACTCAGGAGGTTGAGATCTGAGGATCAGGGTTCAAAGCCAGCCAACCAATTAAGTGATCCTGGCTACTCAGGAGGTTGAGATCTGAGGATCAGGGTTCAAAGCCAACCAATTAAGCACCAAAAAAGATGGAAGTGGAGCTGTGGCTCAAGTGGTAGAGTGCTAGCCTTGAGCAACAAAGTTGGGGGAGGGGGAAGGGGAGGAGGAAGAGGAGGAGGAAAGAAGACCACGATGACTCCTCTCACAAGTTCAGTCTGTATGAACTCAGGACTAGCCAAATAGGCAGTAAGGGCCAGAGACACCTGGGTGGGGAGTCTGTAGAGGTAGGGAGCAAGGAGTGTGGCTGAGGACTATCCCACAATGAGGGGAACAGGCTGTGGAAGGCAGGGCAGGGGGTAAAAGCTCCCACTACAAACAGTATAGTTGCACGCGCAGGTGGAGTAGGGTCCTACAAGGGAAGACTACCTCACACACTGAGTCTAAAAGGGCAGGTGAGACCTTCTCTGTGTTTCATTTCATCTCCTGGGGAAAAACAGTTTAGGCAATGGGGGACCGAAGCCTAAGTCCTGAAGGTAGAGTCCTCTGTTCCTAGACATAAACATGCCCCTGTGGCCCAACCAATTCCAGCCCAAACCCACAGTGCATTCCTGTACCCACAGCCTTGCTCTCTGCAGGGGTCTGGCTATATCCAAGGATAGAGGGCACAGGCTTTAAAATCGGGGACTCATGATCTATGCAGATAAACACTTGCTCAGCAGCTCTAGTGAGGAGATTGGCACATCCGGAAATGGCCATATTTGACTCTCAGCTTGTGTGAGGTTCACAGACACAGTCCCTTCTTTCTGTTGTCAGCCCCAGGCTCTTCAGATTCAGACACAGACAGGACAGGACAGGAGAGCATTAAACTATTAGAGCCCTGAGGGCTGGGTGGACAGCTGCTGGCCACACTGAGCACATTCAGGATTCTCAGCTGTTTGGCTCAAATCTAGCTTGTTCTGACCTGTTGGAGGGCTGAGCCTTAGTTTCTCCAAACCACGAGCACTCTGGTCAGAGGCAACGGTGGCCCTCACCACATAGGAAGAAAATGCATGGCCCATGATGATCACTGTAAAGGAATATTTTTGTAGCATGTCCTCAGGAGCCCAAGATACCAGGTGAGGAAGACCCTGGATTCCTGTGGCTCCCACTGGCTCACGTCCTTGCCCTTGACAAGAGGTAGGAGAGGATGAAGAAGGCCACAATGAGGCCCACGGCCATCCCACAGAGAAGCTTCCGATTGTCTCGCCCAGATCGAGCCATCGTGGAGAAGCGCTTCACACTCCCTGTGAGCAGACCAGTCATGCTGGTGAAGTCCGAGTCCTGAGGGAAGGACCCAGCAGGATCACATACCGTGGCACCTGGACCAATCCACCACCCACACAAGCACAGACTGCAGAGCAGGTGGGGTGGGCCACACCTCAGACCCTTACCATGGCATCCAGGTACTGGTTCTGGTCTTCAGCATCCCTATCAATGTCCAGGGCCAGCTGATAAGGACACAGAGATTATACAGTCAGGCCACAGCAGTCACAGAACATAGTACCCACTCACCCATCAAGACCAGCCAAACTCACCCATGTCTCTACCAGACCCAGTGTCTCAACAGACTGGAAAGGTTCAAGTATCACTCTGGGTTGTACTCAAGCCAACAAAGCTAATGGAAAGCTGCCTGATATCCCTCTGAGACTCTTCCTAACTTCTTCTTTTTTGTTTTTTTGCCAGCTGTGGGGCCTGAACTCTGGGCCTGGGCGCTGTCCCTCAGCTCTTCAGCTCAAGGCTAGCGCTCTACCACTTGAGCCACAGCGCCACTTCCGGCTTTTTCTGCTTACGTGGCATTGAGGAATTGAACCCAGAGGCTCTTGCATGCAAGGCGAGCGCTCTACCACTGAGGCCTTCCCAGCCCCTCTTCCTAACTTCTGACCCCAACTCCCCAGGGGAAAGAAGGGGAACGGGCCACCACTGACCGATTTAAGCCTGGTAACCTTGGAGGCAAGGCTGTCGGCCATCCGCTTGTTCTCCCGGTCTAGAATCTCCTCCACAGCCCCGGAGCTCTGAGCTGTGAGAACAGACAGAGACTGAAGACTCGCACTGAGTTTCTGACCTCTCACCCCAGCTGAATTTGTTTGGTAAGACAGCTACGGAGACAGGGCTCACTTGTGTCTGCCGAGCACCTGAGAGGCAGGCTGTGTAGCACGGTCGGCTCACTGGGGGGCGACCCCTAAGGGGCAGCCGAAACTCGCCCCTTCTTTACCACATGAGGTGGCCGTGACACCCAACACACGGTATCGGACAAAACCTGCCGGGCTGGACCAGCCCCGCAACCGGCGGCTTCATAACAGAGCGGAGTGAACTGTGCTGGCGAGACGCAGGAGGAGATCCTGGGGACCCGGGGAGGGGAGGGGCGGGGGAGGGGA